ATCACACTATTAGAGAATGCAAAGTAGTGCCTGAGTTTCCGACATAACAAAGAGTGGTTGACCGAGTCAAATGCCTTAGAAAAGTCTAAGAGGCATAGAATAGCTAGATCTCCATTATCGTACGGCATTCTAATGTCATCCAAAATTTTAACCATAGCAGTGGCACAGCTATGCTTGGGTCTAAACCCAGACTGCAAAGGAGAAAGCAAATAATTTGTTTGAATGTACATGGAGATTTGGACAGCCATCAAAAACTCACACGCTTTAGAAAATGCTGGTAAGATACTTATAGGCCTGTATTCACAAGGGTTCGACGCAAGTGGTTTTTTAGGAATAGGCAAAATAATTGCTTTTTTCCAAGCATCTGGAAAACGGCCACTAGAGAAGCAATGATTTATTATATGGGTAAGAGTACTTATAATAAATGGGAGCACGATTTTAACAAATCTTAAATATATTCCATCATCACCAACAGCATTCGACTTAATAGCCATAATTGCCTTTAGTACATCACATTCACTCACGTAGAGAAACGCAAAAGAATCTAAAGTTATACAAGCATCTAAAGGGGTATCATCAGAGATAGTAGAGTTACTGCAGTTTTCCGAACCAATAAAAAAGTCATTTAACAGATCAGGGTGAATTTTGCACTGCACTTTATTTTTCCCATGTATGTTTAAATGCTTCAAGTTGCTCCACAATTCTTTAGATGGGAGAGAAGGATTCAGTTTTTGTTTACAATACCACCTTTTAGCTTGTTTAATGATAACGGTGGCTTCATTTCGCGCGGTCTTGTACGCATGCCACGCAGTATCAGTATTCGACCTTCTCCATTTGGCATGCAACTTGTTGCGTTTCTTTATAGCGAAACTTACTTTTTTATTAAACCAAGGGCAGGATGTATTAATAACGTTTGCAGTACGGACGGGGACATGACGATCAAAAAGGGTAGTTAAATTATTATTAAGGCATTCGAGCTTCTTGTCTACCGTCTCATAATACCAACATTCATTCCAATGAATAGAAGAACAATCAGAGAACAATGCACTATTATCTAACGAACGAAAATCACGATACGAGAAAGCAACACAAATTGCAGAACGTTCAAACACTACATCAACAGTACAGAAAATTAAATCATGGTCAGATATAAAAAATAGTTGGTCAAATTTAAGAATATAGGTCAGGTCAGAGATAATAAAATAATCTAAAAGGCTAGGCCTAGAGTTGTTTGCATATCTAGTAGGCGCTAATTCATTAACAACGAATAGCCCAGATGCTGAGATTTGATCACGCAGTTTGATACTACTAGAGTCATTGACAAGTAAATTAACATTAAAATCACCACAGATAACATAACATTCATAATCTATTAAAAATACAGACAATTCAGCGAAGAAACAATCTAACATGAAACATTTGTGTGGATTATACACACAAGAAATCAAAACTTTGGTTATACCGTCGGAAACCTCTGAAATTATAAATTCTGTATCAGAACCTGCAGACTTTGCAAGAAGCTTGATTTTAAGAGATTTCTTGCAGTATATGGCCACACCGCCCCCTTTTTTGTGCTTACGATCGTTCCGAATCACATTATAATTGTTAATGCAGCAATGAAGGTCAGAAATAAGATCACTAAACCATGTCTCAGAAACACAGATAATGTCTACTAAAGACTGCTCAAATATGTATCTAACATAGTCCATTTTATCAGAACTCAGGCTCCGTGCATTAAAATGAACTATGTTAAGACCAGTCGACTGTTTACACAAAATATCTAACATAAGCTTATGGTTTCCATCAGCGCCAGATGCTTGTGTAACAGTCATGTTAAATTAATTACTTTGCACTGAACTGAATAAGAAACAACTATGTAAACACAAAAAAACAAAAGAACAAATATATACATATGTGTGCATATAACTACAAATCATCAGGGCATGAAAAGCAAATAGAAGTGAAAGAATTGAAAGTGAAAGGAACAAGAAGGGAGAAAAGAGAAACTTGGTAAAACTTAAAACTAACATTACATACAAACAATTTATTGCAGCGCATAATTGATTTGACAAACAAAACATGAAACTGACTGCTTTAAGTTATGCCGACAATTTCATCAATACCTTTCTTGTCGTACACTCGAATCGCCGCATCGCCATCCCTTTTTCGTACAAGCACCTGACCGCGTATTGAAAAAGCAGCTGAGAGATGTTTTTGACGTCTGAGTTGGGCGGCATAGTGCATAATCTCACGGTTCGCTCTCGAAAGGCTTTCATGTATGTGGATGCTTGATGTACCTTCCACAGCAATGTCATTTAATGCAAGAGCTCTTTTGTTTGCTTTGCAGTAACCAGCTACTGATTTGAAGAGTCTAATGCGCGCATAAGAGGACTGCAGCTTAACAACAATAGGTGAAGATGCATTGTCGCTGCTTTGTTTCGTAGCCGGCGCTCGAAATATTTCTCTTACTGCTGGCATCTCATGTTGTACTGCGCTGCAGATGTTACAGAAAATCTCCACACAACTCTTATTCACAGCGTTAGGTATGCCGTTGATGATCAAGTCAGTAGCAACGGTCTCGTTTTCATACCGAGCCGACTCTCTTTTCAGCGCTAGCACTTCAGCTTTGAGAGGAGCAATCGCTTCACACGTCGATTCCACAGCAGTCAGCCTCACATCCAAGAACTTTACCGTAGTCTTAATGCTCTGCATCTCCGCTGAAATCTCATTAAATCTCTGCATCAGTCTCTCTTCAGTGCTCTTTATACTCCCACTCAGCCGTTCTATCATGCCCTGCTTTTGTTTTTCCATTTTCGCCTCAAGCTGTTGTAGCCAATGTGCAGTTTGCAAACTCTCACCATCTCGGCATTTACCATGATGGGGGGAGTTAGCCTTCGGCGGGGACAACTTTGCACTTCTTGTTACTTTCTTTTCGACCGACATAAAGCAAATAGAATTATTTCAATTTCGAATTATTTCAATTTCAGCGCGAAAAACAACGTTTGCTTAAATGCAGAAAATCAGCGGCAGTTTAACACACAGGCCTTAGTTTGACAAATATTAAAATCAAGTATTAATTAAAGAAAAGTTGACAAAACCGGCTCATACCGCTCACAATGTATTGACATAAGTATGTCAAGTTATTAACTCTCATTCCAGCACGTTTGATATATCGGACTCGATTTTTACTATACAGAAAACCATAATTTCCACTCTCAGTAATTGAAATACTATCTTTAGCATATCCAATCAGCTGATGAATTTGATTCTGTATCTGAATAGTTTTAGATCTCGACACTTAACAAACTCCTGTTTCCACTACTCGGCACCAATAAACTAAAAAAAAAACAAAAAGTTCCGTACGTCATGCGGACTTGGAACATGGTTTTGTTTCCAACCGTTCTACAGTTTCCAACTTGGCGGTTTTCAGTGAGTACTGCATTGCGTCCTTTACAAGAGGACTTCAGGTTGACTGTATTTATACAGATTTTTCTAAAGCTTTTGATAAAGTGTCTCATTCTATTTTAATTAATAAATTAGCTAGCTACGGATTTCAGTCAGTTTTTCTACAATGGCTTAAATCCTATCTGTCCAACAGGCGATGTGTAGTCACTAGTGATGGCACATCTTCCACATCTTTTGTTGCTTCTTCTGGGGTTCCTCAAGGAAGTTTTTTAGGCTCTTTGCTATTAGTTCAGTTTATTAACGATGTAAGTACCTGTTTTTCCTTCGCTAATTATTTGTTACATGCGGATGATCTAAAAATGTTTGCTTCCATAAAGGACCTTAGTAACGTGCATAAACTTCAAACTGATCTTGATAATTTGCATCTTTGGTGTACTAAAAATCACCTTTCTTTCTATTAAGAAATGCTTCAAAAATACTTTTGGAAAAATTCATAATGTTTTGTTGACTCGTTACTATATTTGTAACTGTTTGCTAGAATCTGTTGAAGGAACAAAAGATTATTTTTTCATCGAATTTCACATTTCATAATCATATTGACCACTTGTTAGAAAATCTTATTCGACTCTAGGCTTCGTCAGGCGGAACTGTACACAATTCTCTGGTCCATATACCCTTAAACTGCTATATACGTCCTTCGTGCGGTCCACTTTGGAATATGGTACGTTCATTTGGATGCCGTATCACAATAATTCTATTAGTCGCATTGAGCGTGTTCAGAAAGTGTTCCTTAAATTCGCTTTGCGATCTTTGAATTTTTCTGAACCAACGCCTTCTTATAATTCTTGTTTGCTTCTAATAAACCTTAAGACCTTAGAAGCTAGGAGATCTGTACTCTCACTCTCCTTTATATTCAATGTTGTTAGAGGCTCTTTGGATTGCACTTTTTTATTGAACCGTATCAAGTTTAATATTCCGCAGAGGAACTTACGTGTCTTTTTATCTTTTTATGAGGGCTATTGGAAAACTGAGTATGCACGTAATGACCCAGTTGCACGCGCACTTAGTGATTTAACATGATGCAATAATATAAGGTGTTATCAGTTGGCAACTTCTCGCTCTAATTCCGCCATATTGGCTGCCTTACGTGAAACACTGTTACTTCTTTAACTATTCTTTGCCCATTAATATAGTTGAATGTTTTTTATTTTTGCTCAGTATACACACTTTGTTTTCTTAAACAGGTATTTTATCGTATTTTACTTCATTTCATATCGAATATACTATAAAAAAGCAAATTTTGTTTAGGAGAAAATGTGAAATTTTATATTTTTCCGACATATGGGGATTGATTTCTTCCCGTTTTTCTTCTCATTCTACTGAGCTAAGGCAGTATCAAATCGAGCTGTCACAACTGATACCACCTTGTATTATTGCACCATAGTGATTTAAATAAGGTCTCTAGTTCTATCTCAATTGATTTTTCCTTTGAAACATATGTATTTGTTAATATTCTGAACTGTTATTTTTAATCTCCTTATTTTACTAGGGTTCTGTTCTTACATACATTTGTACATTGTATTTATCGAATGATCTTAGTAATAACTTTCAGTTTGCCTATAGTCTGTAAAAATATTGTATTTCATAGACTAAGTCAAGTTAAACAAATAAAAAAATTTTATTAAAAGTCAAATGGTTAGCAACAACAACGAATGTCATTAAATGGAACTACATTCTTTTTTGTATCATGGTTTAAATTATGGCTTACTTCTAATCTACTTCTAATTCGGTTCTTGGTAATTTTTTTGTCTTTTTTTGTCTTTATAATTTTTCTTATCTTTTGGTTCCAATTCTAAATATTTCGCATTTTGTATTGCCCGAATGACTCACCCTTTGTTGCAGCAGACCTTGGTGGGGCACTGCTGTTGTTGTTGTAGCCGGTTGTTGTCGTCGTTTCTGGTGGTTGTTGTTTTTGCTGTGGCAGCAGTTATTCTTGTTGCGGCAGGCCAGTGGTATGGGCCCTGTCGTTACTGGGCGTTGTTGTTGTTGCTGGGTACTGCGGCTGCTACTGTGGCAGCCGATGTTGTCGCTGCTGTGTGGCACCCTTAATGGGGTCGCCTTGTTGTTGTTGTTAGGCGGTGTGGTCGTTGCTTGGCAGCCGCTGCTATTGCGCTTCGGGGTTACCGCACGGCAATGTGCGAGCTGGCCAGTACCTGCAAGGGAGTTTTAATTAGTATATAGTGTGTGGTATGTTCATAGTATTCTTGCGTAGAGCACACGCCGAAATTTACAAAGAGTGCATATTCCCTGTCGAACGTATTAATAAACTATTGCTCCGTATCTGAAGTTTTTGCTTTAAATGGAAGTTGCATTTGTTGTTTACTCGTGTGTTGAAGTTTTTAGATTCGGGTCGTGCGTCTGCACATCGTCCCAAAATCAATGTGCAATTAACTAAACCGTATCCCGATTTAGTCTTCGATAGTTTAGTTCTTCAGTCGCCAAGTTCATGTGTTTACCTTATTTGCGGCTGATGCTGACGGTTGTCGTACGGCGTTAGAGGCTTGTGGTTGGTGGTGGTGTTTGCCGCCACGAGGTATCGATGCTGCTCCTCCCGACTGGCACCTTGTTAGAGTGTTTGATGTGGCTGTACCGCTTCCGACGTGTTTGCTGTTGCTAAAGCTCGAGGTGCAGTCGGGCTCATAAAATTTACTTTCTTGCTTTAATGGTTATATTAATTAGTTTTTTTTTTCACTTAGCTTTGCGGTTTCTGTGATTTTCGTTAGGTAGCTGCTATCTGCTGTCGCGTTAGGTATTAGACCAAACCGCAGATATGCTGTTGATTACAAAAATAAAACTTTTTACGTATTTGGCGTATTTGTAAGTCACTTTATAAAACTTGCACCGCCTCAAGCGTGTGCATTTATATTTTACACGCCACCGTAAATTATGATCTATAATGTAGAATTCATGGAAAATATTTTCTACTACACTTTGTTTCTTCCTTTTTTTCCCCTTGTTCACTTTCCGCCCGTTCCACTAAGTTTGATTGTCGAGTCTAAGAACAAATGACCGAGTATGGGGGTCGCCAGGAGGTTTTTATACCTTTGCACTGCGGGAAATTAAGTATCCAATTGGAAAAATAACGGGCACTGCGTCAATTGGATTGCTGCCGTTATTCTTACTCATGTAAAAAATAAATAATGTTCGAGACCGTCCGGGGGTGCCATAAACNCTTTTTTTCCCCTTGTTCACTTTCCGCCCGTTCCACTAAGTTTGATTGTCGAGTCTAAGAACAAATGACCGAGTATGGGGGTCGCCAGGAGGTTTTTATACCTTTGCACTGCGGGAAATTAAGTATCCAATTGGAAAAATAACGGGCACTGCGTCAATTGGATTGCTGCCGTTATTCTTACTCATGTAAAAAATAAATAATGTTCGAGACCGTCCGGGGGTGCCATAAACATATTATACAGATCTGAACCGGTTGAAAAGCAGCAATTCAACAGCTTTGCTTCTTCACTGGCCGTCTACACAAGGATAAGATTTATTGTTGTTCAGCTGTCTGTTTGTTTGCAATATTTGTGCGGGTTTTTATATATTGACATCAGCCTTTTAGAAGTGTTTTTACCGTCAAAAAATCTCCGAAAATTGCTATTTTAGATCCAAGTACATACTACCATGAATTTTAATATGAAACAGCTCGACTTTTGCTTTTACGCGGACGACACTTAATCACCCTCGCCTTTCCTTTTCTCACACATTGCTTGTCAAATATCTTAAAATTTGAAAGCCATTAGGTAGGCTGAATTCACTTTGAGAAGCATTCTCATTGTCAACACGTCATCGTCAAGAAAACAACTAAACTAATCAGCTTTTAAAGACCACTTCCTATTCTAAATTGCATTTTAGGTTAACTTATTTTAGCATTCAGAAGCTTATGGTGATTTCGATTCTAACAAAAAATGTTGCCCTTCCACGGTGCAAAATATGTTTGATGTTACACTCAACCCTGTAAAAGTGCATGTTTTTGCCTATTCAGAAAAGAACACAAATCACTGACCTGACATCTACTTTATACGAAATTTTAGCTTTTCCGCGAAGCAGGCTTTTTCGCATTCCGTAATTTTCAGAAAACAAATATTTCGTTGCGTTTATAAAGTAATTTCCATTTTAGTCGTGTATTCAATTGTTCCTGGTATACTAAAATATTTAAAATGGAACCAGAAAGTCCAAGCTGTAGCAAAACCGTTACTGGTATGTAGATTTAAAAAGTTTTGGATACTCAATTTGCATTATCCACAATATGATTATCCTTTTTTTTCAGTATGGACAGAAGGTGAAACCCGCCTGCTCTTGGACAAATACGCAACCTACCTGCCGGATATTGGTCCTTTAAAACAATTCCGCTGCAAGAAAGACATGTGTATGAGGATGTCTCTTGACTTTAATGGCAGAAGTTGGAAACAGTGCGAAGAAAGATTTAAAACGGTGACGAAAAGAAAGAAAGCGTCGGTTGATAACAACTCAACTTCTGGCGCTAAACGACAAAAGATAGCCTATGAACAGGAGCTTGAAAAAATCAACCACCTAGATGATTCCATAGAGCCAACTGTCCGTATAAGCAGCCAAGGTATTGTTTGCATAACTATAAGTTAAGTGAAAAAAGTGCCAAAGTCAAGAAAGCAAAACACAGTTCAGGACACGTTACTTGAGATAGCAGCTAGAAAAGAAGAAACAAAGGAAAAAAGGCATAATCTGTGAATCATTTGATAGAACAAAATTAGAAAATGATCGTCTAGTATTAAACTGTTTCGTTTTTAACACGAATTTTTGAATGAACTAATAAAAGATCTTGTTTTATTTAATTGTTACACAAAAATGCTTTTATTTGATTTCTCTTTATTTCACCCAACTCNCAGTATGGACAGAAGGTGAAACCCGCCTGCTCTTGGACAAATACGCAACCTACCTGCCGGATATTGGTCCTTTAAAACAATTCCGCTGCATGAAAGACATGTGTATGAGGATGTCTCTTGACTTTAATGGCAGAAGTTGGAAACAGTGCGAAGAAAGATTTAAAACGATGATGAAAAGAAAGAAAGCGTCGGTTGATAACAACACAACTTCTGGCGCTAAACGACAAAAGATAGCCTATGAACAGGAGCTTGAAAAAATCAACCACCTAGATGATTCCATAGAGCCAACTGTCCGTATAAGCAGCCAAGGTATTGTTTGCATAACTATAAGTTAAGTGAAAAAAGTGCCAAAGTCAAGAAAGCAAAACACAGTTCAGGACACGTTACTTGAGATAGCAGCTAGAAAAGAAGAAACAAAGGAAAAAAGGCATAATCTGCTGAATCATTTGATAGAACAAAATTAGAAAATGATCGTCTAGTATTAAACTGTTTCGTTTTTAACACGAATTTTTGAATGAACTAATAAAAGATCTTGTTTTATTTAATTGTTACACAAAAATGCTTTTATTTGATTTCTCTTTATTTCACCCAACTCACTTAGCACGGCCTCATTAACATCCTCTGCCAAAATATGCGTTTGATTAGAACTATGTTCAATGTATTCCAATTGTTCTTCGAAAATGTAATTTTTATTGATGCATGCAACTATGAATTTACCCATTGGCTCAACGTGAAAATCTAGTCTCATAATCTGCCGAAAGCGGCACTTTAACAATCCAAATGCATTTTCAATCTTTACACGTGTTTGAAAAAACTTGTAATTGTATTTTCTTTCAGTCTCGGTCAGATTCCCATAGTCTCGGTAGGGCGTTAATAGATAAGTGCGGAGTGGATAAGCGGAATCTCCAAGGAGATCGGGCGAGCACAATTTACCCAGCTCCTTACCAATAAACGACAGCTTTAGCAAACGAGAGTCGTGCATTTTACTCGGAACTCCGGTAAAAACGTCCAAAAACCGCAAATTCGCATCACAAATACCTTGCATAGTTATAGATATCGAATCGTGCCTATTTATGTATGTGGATCTGATTTTGTGCTTTGGAGTTCTCACCGCTATATAGCTGGCATCAATGCAGCCCAAAACATTTGGGAATCCACAAATGCGCTTGAATTCACTGCCAATTTCTTCTTTTCCAGCAGCATCTATTGGAAAACCAATCCCGTTTGGAGCAACTTCGTCAAACATAAAGATTAAAAATTTTATGCACGCTTCAAAGCGACATATTAAAAAGGTTTCCAACCTCGCGGAATGTAGTTTTATTACTGCAAAACCTACAATCAGATAAAATATTGTTATTTTGTTAAATTCCATACAAAAAACCCATGCTTATACCACAAAAACATCAGTATTTGCGTCTCATGACTGAATTCTGCTCTTCCGCCTCTATACGTCCTAGAATATTTGGCAATCAAATAGTTTGCACTTTCACGCCTCACCCTGAAGTGTTTTCTAAACTGAAAATTGAAAAGAGAAAAATTATAGCAATTCCTTTCAGTAACAAAAAGATATTACCTCGGCATCAGTATATGAGCAGACCACGTCCACAATAAAATCTTTTACGTGCGTACGTTCTTCTCTACTGAATAGTATAGAAGTTTCTTCACCTTCCGATGATGATGACGAGGATTCCAAAAGTTCATTTAATGCGTTTTGTGCAGAAATAATGCAACTTTTATAATTGGCCATGATTTCAAATCAAAATTAGCAAAAATGTTTTCTTCAGAACAAAATTAAATGTCAAATTAAACTGGTATATACTTATCCTTGTCTAGCTCATGCATTTCATAATATTGTCGTTTTAAGCAATCAGCTGATTTTCAGGGCAACCATCTCCCCTGACAAAGCTTCAAAGGGCAGAAAAGGTGCCTTTTTTGCCTTACAAGAGTGTGACATTTTAAGAAGCGAACACAAAATTGTTTCACCCTTTGCCCTTAATTAAGAATCGAACACGAAAAGAGAAAGGGGCAATCAAAAGGCGACATTTTTTTGTAGAAACGAAATCACCATTAGTAATTTTTTGTTTTCTCGAAATTCGTCTGTCAGTGCGGAATGGGTTATTAAAATTGAAGCAAAATCAAAACTCACTTGAAAGGAAAAAAATTGGAAGCAAGTTTCCCATTCAGTAGTAGAATAAGAGTGCGTTAGTGGAAAATGTCAGTGTATTGAAAATTGAAAGGGGAAAGTTGAACGTGTAACGTCGAAGTTATGTTAAAATATCATTAACGTTGTCGTCAAGCAGGTTTCGGGCAAAGCAGCCGTAGCTGTCAAACTACCGCAATAGATGGCAAGATATAAGCTCTGATATATACATATTTTTCTCTCTACATTCTAACATATGTGTCAAGATATAAACTCGATCCTGTGAGGACGGGCAGTTACAAGCATCACAAGCCTCCGCTGGAAAACGTTTCTTAACAAAAATAAAACAAACAAACCTGCAGGAACTAGTGACATTATGTGCCCTTTGTGCAGCCACCTTACCGCCCGCTATCACACTACACACTAAACTAGCAACGCACTGCTTACCCCAATAAACTCGGCTTATCCTCGTGGCCAGGGATCCGCTGCTTGCAAATGCTAGGCGTATTCGCTCAGGTAGTTTCACTCCGGGTGCTCTGGTATGCGCTGCACCCCTAATCATTTTGGTATTTGCCGGCCGCTGCTAGTATTGGCGCAAATAGATATTCGGCCAGTCTCAATATTTAAAACGTTATGAATTTACACTCGCGTAACATTCGCTTGGAGTTTTTGATTAAAAGACAACTTTATTTCGAGTTTTTAATTAATTTTGCGTTACCTACGACAAGAAGTACTCTTAAACCAATAAAAATCATAGCGGAAATAGAACAAATAATTCAGCAGATGAATGATGAGAGAGAGAAGGAAGTAGAAAGGAGCAAAGTAAGCAACAGAATCCTACAATTCAAACGGGGAATAAAAACCAATGCAGCGGAAGAATTCATATTGGATGCCTTCAAAAAAAAAACAAAAGCGCTTCTGAAAAAGTATAAAGATAAGATAGTTGTCACAGATTGAAACAAGGGGAACAAGACGGCGGTATTTTACAAAGAAGACTACAAGGAAAAAATTAACAAACTACTACTGGAAGACAAAAGCACCTACAAAACTTTAAGAAACGACCCAACAAATATTCTGAAAAAACAGAACACCAATATAGTTGATGGGCTCTATAAAAACAAAATAATTAACTACAGGGAAAAACAAAAATTAATATGCAGCACAGCGACCGTGCGTCGCCTTTACGGGCTACCGAAAATCAACAAGCCGAATCTGCCCTTACGACCAATAGCGTCATCAGTCAATGCCCCGTGCTATGGCCTATCCAAGTTTATTGGTAGTTTTTTAAGAAATTTAACGAGTGAAGAGTATAATATTAATAGAATATTAATATTATAGAAAACGTATGCGTAAATGAGGTTGATTTATTAGTATCTTTTGATGTTGTGTCATTATTCACAAATATACCAACCTATTTAGCTCTTAATGAATAAGTTCAAAGAAGTGCAGCAAAACATCAACATCCCCAAAAACACCTTTCTTAACATATTGAACTTCTGCCTAAAAGATAATAATTATTTTATGTACGACGGAAAAGTTTTTTCACAACCCATGGGACCCTGTCTCCGACAATCCCAGACATAATTATGACAACATTGACATAAAGTTCATAGTAAAATACGTTGATGACATTTTTGCCATTGTAAAAGCAAAAGACCTAGATATCATTCTAAGTACATTGAATAAATATTACAACAAGCGACAGTTTACAATAGAAAGAGAAAAAAACTTCAGCATACCTTTTTTAGATATAAGAAGGAAAAATAACCAGATACTATTGAACTGGTACTCAAAACCCATCTCATCTGGTCGTATAATACATTTTTTATCTGCTCAACCCCTTAAGTATAAACTTAATACTGCAAAGAATCCAATACATAAAATATTAACCATAAGCCAGATCAATTTAGAAACGCAAGCATAAAGAAAATGCATGAAATATTAAAAAGTAATAATTACCACAGCCAACTAATAAGAAATCTCATAGATGCTCATAACAATAAACGCAATAACAAATCTAATGAAAATGATAGCGAAACAAAGTAATTCCACAGTCTAACATACATCCCCAAATTGACGGAAAAATTCAGGCATGACATAAGGAACAACAAGCAAAACATAGCCATACTTCACAATTTTTACAAAAACCAAAATCCGGATCGAACCGCAACAACAAAACAACGTCATATACGAAATCCTATGCAAAAGTAAATAAAACGAGGACTGCAACAAAATCTACATTGGGACTACTAAACGAGCTTTAGGCGTTCGCTTATCAGAACACGAGGCGGAAATAAGAACGGGGAAAACAATACAGCGCCAGCGCAACATATACTAGCGAGCAACCACACAGCTGATCTAACCAAAAATCGTAGATATTGAAAAGAGAGAAAAAGTGAGATACACGATTGAAAGCCTTCGTATTATGCAAAGCAGAGAAAGGGCAGTAAAGAAAAAAGCAGACACGAACGACATTGTGGCTAGTTACTTGTTATGTTTATGAAACACAAATCAGTATGACAAATGTACCAAAAGCGACTGGTACTGATTTATAATTTTAAGTTTTTGTCTGTACACATATACATAAATATGTATGTATGAGCTCCTTCGGCCGTTGGAATTAAAGCGAAAATAAAATTTTCCTTTTTTACTCCTACCCGTTTCAACGAATTTCACGTCTTCCTTAGTCTGCTTTATTTGAACGATAAACAATAAACAATAAACATGGTTAACAATTACTATAACATACAAATCCGAATTTTAAACTCACACGTTACAATTATTCACATTAAACAACAATAATTACATGGTTTTAGCGCAGCGAGTTTACACTACTTTCTTTTGGTTTTATTTATATCCAGATTTTAATATATCTGTATAGACGTTGTTTGTGTTGTCCACATCTTCTTTGAATTCATCACATTGTCAAGTTTCTGTTGTATTGGTAGGCTTTCCAGTGTCATTCTCCTTCTTTTCCTCTTTCGATGTCCAATACTCGCGTGCTGTCGAAGTCCGCTTTGTGTTCGTTGTTTGCCAAGTGTTGTATGTTCGTTAATTCTTATACCCAGCGCTCGTTTCGTTGTGCCTACATAGCATTTATTGCAGCTTTCATTGCTATTACCAGTGCACATTATTTCATATACTACATTGTGTTGTTGCTCTTTTTCGATCTTGTCGTTTGGTTTAGTAAATATTTTGTTTAGAGTATTGTGTGGTTTATGCGCATATATTATGTTGTTGTTTTTTATTGTTCTTCGCAGTGTTTTATTGCTTGTTAGGCCTGGTATATAGGGATGGGTAGTGGGGGTTGAAATTCGATTTTTTCCGAATTTCGAACATTGCCCAATCATTCGATTTGAAATTCGGTGGTGAAAATTCGATTTCAGTCGATTTTTTTCGAATTTTGCAAAATTAATTTAATTTTGCGAATTAAAGGCTTCTCTTTTGTGTCTGCACCATAGTTTTAGTTCTATGAAATGGGTTACCACAGGTTAGAAAACCAAATTCAAATAATCACGTCCGCAGATGTTTGCGTCAAATATTTAACACTAAGTCATAACATCTGTATCGTTCGTTTTATTTTTAAAAAGGGGGTAGGTGTCAAATGAAAGGGCTTGCCCTGTAGATGTGTAACATGGTTTTAGTTTTGTGCCATATGTATGTAAGAAAATCAAATCAAATTATTTAATAAGTTAAATAGATTACCTCAATATGGGTATCAATCGAAATGGTTTTGAATAAACTTTATTTTTTAATTACATTTAGGAGGGTTGCCGCCTGTTTGAAAAGTCGAATTTAGTTAAAGAAGTGTTGTACTTAAAATACTATGCATTAATGTATATATTTTTGAGGTGCTTGAAGAGAGTGGCCACCTGTTTAAAAAGTTAAACTCAAATTACACTGTGCGACAGCCGAACCCAGCCCGGACTTTGTTAACATTTTCTGAATGTATACCCAATAAGTAGTAAAACGCTCGATGGATTTGCAAAAGTTAGCTCGCATTTTTATTTTATGGCCTGCTAAAGTTTTCATATCTCGGCCTAAGTAGTTTTCAAAAAAGTCGAAAAAATAGTTAAAATAAATGTCTGAGCGAAATTGAAGGTTGAGACATATATATTAAAATTTCTAGGGAAATGTTTTCGTAGAACATTTTAACCCATTAGCTACCGCCTAAAACGGTCATTTTTGACACTTACTTCAAGAAATCTCGCAAAAAGCAAATTTGGCAGATCGTTACTGGATTGATATATTTTAAAAAATTATTCTCCGGAAAATTTTACTAGGGGTCTTCTCAGGAAAAAACTTCATGCTTCCA